CATGCACACTGCCATATTTGACTTTTTTTTCTAGAAAGAGAGTCCTCTGATGAGAAACCCAACATCAGAACACAAAAATGCTGGCATACTGAACTAGGAACTATGAGAAAATAAACCAGAGGTGGGATAATATTTGGAAGAATAAGATATAACTCTTTACAGTATAGTTATTAATCAACCAGAGAACAATGATAACTGGGCTATATTTGGGGAAATGTGCCATTATGTCTTATACACAGCACAGATTGGTTATAGCCACTACCATAAAGTGATAACTAAAGTAGTCATGGTGGGCAACCAATTTGGCTTAAGGCTCAGTTAGTAAATATTGCTTCTGTGCCCATTGAAATTTCTTTTGCACAGGCAATGAGCTTCCTGTCTTGATTATACTCTAAATGAAAGTACTCAGAGATCAAAGTCATTTTTTGATATCAGCGAATTTGACTAAGAACATATTTTCATGTATTCACAATTCTTTTCTTAGGTAGCCCCACACAGGCCTCTGAACTCACTGTGCAGCCACAAATGACTTTGAGTCCTTCCTTCCTCCCTCCCCTCCTCCTTCCCTCGCTCCCCCTTCCCTCCCTCCCCTCCTCCTTCCCTCTCTCCCCCTTCCCTCCCTCCCTTTCTCCCTTCCTTCCTTCCTCATTTTCTGACACAGGATTTCTGTGTGTAGTCCTGGCTGTCCTGGAACTTGCTCTGTAGACCAAGCTGGCCTCAAAGGTCTGCCTGCCTCTGCCTCTCAAGTGCTGGGATCAAAGGCATGTGTCACCACCACCACCCTGTTAGATGCATTTGCTTCTTATTTTTGGGGGGTGGGGGTGGCGGGTATTAGATGGGTCTCTTTATGTAGCCTTGGATCCTCTGGAAAAAAATCAAGTACTCTCATTGTTTTAAATTGGAAATAGTTTTATTTTCATACAGTATACTCTGGTTATAGTTCCCCTCCTCTACCCCCTTCAAGATCACCCCCGCTTCCCCACCCACCAAAATCCACACCCTTTCTCTTATTAGAACACAAACAATGCTCTTAACCATTGAGCCATCTCTCCAGCTGGACATTGAATTGTTCATCCTTTTGTCCCTAATTCTCAAATGCTGGCATTATATGTGTGCCACCATACTTGTTGACTATTCAATTAATAATAGTCGGTAACAATCATTTGCAGTATAATTTCAGTTTTATTGTATTATAAAACATTTATTAGCATATGTTAATTATACATAGTAACAGGTTTCATTATGGCATGTACAGAATGTATTTCAATCATATTCACCTCTTGTTACCCTCCTTTGTCTCTTGCTCCTTTAAGCCGTCTCCCCATTTCATCAGGTGCTTATCCTGAATAGCAAACACTCTTACCCACTGACCTCTCCAGACTCATATTGGAATTCTAAATTATCCACAGGCGAAAGGCTTTGATTCCTGGCTGAGAGGCTACTTTCCTTTCTCTGGTTCACAATTATCTCCTCCTGTCTTGCCTCACTGTGTAGCACAGGCTGGCTTCGAACAGTCAACCCTCCTGTCTCAGCCTCCTTAGCGCTTGCATTACAGATGTGCACTTCCAGGCTTTGACCTTACCCTCATATAAACAGAGGCAAGTCGGCTTCTACAATGGTCAAGGAACTGGCAATGGGATAAAGCATGAAACAAAATAATGACCCCTCTTGGGCTTTTAGAGAGACAACCAACAGCAAGCAGCTACAAGGCTGGTGATTTGGTAGGTGATAATGGAGGCATAACATGTTGCGTCTGTCAAGCATCTTTGTTTTTTTGTTTTGTTTTTTTCTGTTGGAGCTATAGGAATACTCAGTGGTACCCGCTCAGGGCCACACGGGGAGGCCTCTGGGAATGTGTGTGGATGAACAGCGGACCTTCAGTATGGCAGGCTTCTGGCAGTGCGGTTACAAGCTAAGTGCCAAGACCAAAGGAGGATGGTGTCTCAGGGATGGCGGGATGTA